TCATGAATAATGCGAACCTGCATGCAAGTCATGCAAGTCAAGAGCTAATACAAGCCACATAAAATCAGTTATAAAATCAGCTATATATGCCACCACTCTTATTTTTTTACAAACACTTGCCAGCATTCGTAGTAAATTCACAATGTAAAGAAGTTAACCTAAAAGTCTTGAATATGACTGAGCGACAAGTTCAGGTAATTTCCAGATAGTGCAGTCTTTGTCTGCTGATTGAGCTGGAGATGTGTGTTCGTGCAAAAAATCGCAACTATTGCCAAAAAAATGTAGGGAAAAAGCTAACAAAGCTCAAATTATCAGAATTGCCTGATAGCATATCATCCAGCTTTTGTTTGCAATTATTTGTTTTGTTTTTCCTGCAAAAGGGGAAGTAGAAAGAAGTTGAAAGTTATTTCATGTATGACTAAGCCATATTAAAATTGTTTTGATAAAGAGTTGCCTCCTATGTTGATTTGTTGTACCTATCACAGGAAAAAATTCCAGAAAACCATCAATGGTAAAGAAAATGGTAATCTGTAAATTCCCACGAGGAATAACCATTAATGAAAAAGCTGGACATCTCCCATTAATGTTTTTATTAATAATTTACATTAATGTAAGAGGCACAAACCATTGATGGTTAGTGAATAATAACCAGAAATAGTTATTTTCATTTAAACATCAAGTGAAATGTCCATTAAAAATTAATGGCTATGAACGAAACATTAATGGTGGCAATCAAGAAACATTAATGTTTTTTTTGCTGTTTAACATTTTTTCAATTTTAAATAACTACTCCTGGGAATTGAACAATTTCCATTAAAATCATTAATGCCTTTTAGATACTGAAGACATACATTGATGTGTATTAGAAATATTCCATAGATGGTTATAACAAAATTATCATCAATGCAATGGTATGTAGTTCAGGAAATCCCATTATTGGGAATTTAATATAAAAACATATATGTTTATTAGAAATATTCCATAGATGGTTATAACAAAATAATCATCAATGCAATGGTACATAGTTCGGGAAATCCCATTATTGGGAATTAAATATAATGGCTTTTTCCATTGATGGAGTTTTGATGTTTTCCATGGATGGGATGGATGCTGACATTACATTTTCTTCCAACAGGTGCTGTCTGCACTTTAGTTCCAGCTTCCCATTACCTCTCACCAGAGTGGCAATAAAGTTTCTGTTTGCCTCCACAGGATCACTTGTACTATTATTAAAAAATTAGATGTTCTTCAATTTTAATTTCCCACTTGAATATAAAGATTTTATCCCCCACACACATTGCACTGTAAATTAGTGAGGATTGAAATGTGATGAGCTGTTCTGGCAGTTGAAGGGAAAAAAACAACAAATTAAAAAACACAAATGTCGTACTCACACAGTTTTCAGCAATAATGAGGAAAAGCTGACAGAAAAACTCGTTTTAATGGCTGCTGTAACAAAAGTACAATCTTTGGCCTTTCATGTTGCTTACAAATAATATAAATATAAAGTGTACAGTCAATTTGAACTTCTGCACCCAACAGTTCCACAAACTGCAGTAAAAGTTGCCCTTTGAAAACTTTTTCAAGTAGCACTGGTGAACTAAAATGATTTAATTTCTAAATGTTACTTTGTGAGACCTTTTTGGAGCATCCTTACACTTTGACTTTGTAACCAGCTTCACTGTTTTTTTTTCTTTTGCTTTGGTCTAAATGTTAAGATCTTTTGTTGACAACTGTAGCTGGGTTCTAGAAATTTCTTAAAAAAATGTATGACCTTAAATGCCACACACACTATATAGCTAGCAACTTGGAACTCACTAAAATTAACCAATAAAAGTTCCTTCTTGACAGTTCCACAAACTCAACTAAAAGTTGCCTTTTGAAAACTTTTAAAGAAGCACTTAAGCTGGTTAGCTAAAATGGTTTAACTTTTTTAATGTCATCTCGTGAGACCTTCTTGGAGTGTCTATATGACACTTTGACAAATCCTTTCTTTTAAAAGTGCTTCAACAACCAACTTCACTAGACCTTTTCTCTCTTTCTTTTTGGATAGTGTGACTTTAAATCCAACAAACACACAAGCAACTTGGAACTCACTAAAATTTACCAATAAAAGTTCTTTTTTCTTCAGTTCCACAAACTCAACTAAAATTTGCCTTTTGAAAACTTTTTAAGAAGCACTAGCTGGTGAGCTAAAATGGTTTAATTTTTTTAATGTCATCTCGTGAGACCTTTTTGGAGTGTCCATTTAACACTTTGACAAATCCTTTCTCTACAAGTGCTTCAGCAACTATCTTCACTAGATCGTTCTTCTCTTTCTTTTTTGTTATAATTTTAAGAGCTTTTTCTGAAGACTGCAGCTGGGTTCGTGAAATTTGAGATATTTGGATTGCATTAAAGGCCACGCACACAACCAACTTGGCAGTATCCTCATCAAGATCTACGAAAGATTACAAACTCCTCTGAAACAATTTCATTACATTTGGGGGGCAAATGTTTTTTTGGGGGCATGCAGATATATTTTACAGTGTAATGCATACCCTCGTTTTCATCGGATTCTTCTACACTTTCTGTGTCTCCAGAGTTATTTGTCTCTTCAGAGTCTCCAATCTCTTCATGATCAGCACTTGATCCACTAGCTGAACTTGAGCCACCAATATCATTATCAGTACTAGTGCTGTCAGAACTTGTTCCTTGATCCACTTTCCTTTTAAGAGTCCGTTTATCCGGCTGCAATGTCAAAAAAATCATGTAAATGGTTGTACAGAAACATGAGCTGTTTTTTTTTCATCATAATTTGTTAACTTATATGGGTTTAAGTTAGTAGCAATATGTTCATTTAGATGTTCTTTGTTGTAAAGCAAACAAAATCTTTTCCGTAGGTTCGAGCTCCTTCCAAATTAAGGTCTGCATGCATGAATAAGAAATAATTGGTCAATATATAAAAATTAATGTTATTGACATTAAGCTCACCTGAAAATAGTCATGTCCTTTCCTTTTATGTCTCCTTCTTTCATTAAGAACGTCTAAGATATGTTGTTTGATACCCTCTTTGCCAAAGTTTAAAGGTGGAAACGAGCAATCCTCCTTGAGGTCATTAACAAGATCATTCAACTCGTCAACAGCGACCTTGTTCTTCTTAAAATCCGGGATGTCATTCCCAGGCCATCTATTAATTGCCGCAGTTCTGATAGCTTTTCTCCTAATAAGGAAACGGATTTAAAAAAATTGTGGAAATTTATATCCAATATTTAAGACAACCATTCATACATAGATTTATTAAATTGTGACGGTTTGAAATACAAATACTTCCTCCTTGTTCGAGAAACTACTGCTACATTATGCATTTAAATTTGTTTTTAAACACTTCGAGCAAATGCAATCGGTTGAAAAATTTCTGTAATGAAGTTAGAAAATACAGTAAAAAAGGACACATTCCTGACAGTTACTTACTTGGTCTTGTAAATTCTTCGTGCAGTTTCACTTATTTGCAGCAGCTGCGCTTTGGAGGGCTTTTTGGGTTTGATCGTCGTCACTTCAAAACCAGTGGACCCGCTCTCGGCAGAACTATTGACCACGGAGCTTAATTTTAGCTGGTCGGCAACTGTAAGAAGGCCTCAGGCTTCGTACTGTTCTTGGGATGCACGTTTAGAGAGAAGGACCAAGGTTTTTCCATCAACCTTTTGGGCTGTTTGCATAAAATCAAAACGAGCAGTAAGAAAAATTGTTTAAGCTTAAATTGTATGAACACATCTGAAAAGTTATGTACCCTACACAATGTATTCGATGCAACAAGCTGCACAATTACGTGATGTCCACTTTCATAACTCTGGGAAACCTTACCAATTCATAAAGAACATCTCCATTTTCAACAAGAATTCTGCATATGATATATTATTTCCTGCTTTTCGAACATATTTGAAAATTGGAAAAGTGTCATAATCGATGGAAAATTATTGGGGAAGTTCATTGGGGACATTTTTAACGTACAATTATTTCGCGCCAAAACCAAACTAGTATCAACCTGTATCAACGCAATGCAAAATCAGTTCCCGAAATGACAAATTCTGTGTTCACTGTGAGAAATTGTTAAAAATCCTTCCAGCTTTATCACGGTAAGTTAAAATAGTATAGCAGACAATAAATAAAGGGAATTTAGGCCATTTCAATTCACTGTAAAATACATGTGTAAGATTCAGTGACGAAATCTACAAATCGATTCTGACACTTGTTGAACGTACCTTCGAACTTTTCGCTACTTCTGTATTGAAGTGCTTTTCTATTAAAATGAACACTTCACGAACATCCATTTCTTCCACTGGTTTTTCGGCGTTCATTATGTCACGATTTATTCGTAGAACTAAAGACCTAATAGCTTCCCAATTTGTATAACAGCCCTCGACATCAATCGACAGAAAGACAGAAGTAGTCTTCGCAGCGCGCCCTGCTAAACAATGTACAGCGGGGAGTTACGCGGGGGGGGGATTGACATACTGCGACATGATTGGCTGGACGTGGATATGCAGGGATGTGATTGGTGCAAGAAATCGTTGCGCGGGAAATTTGGCGCTTTGTGATTTTCGCTCGATTTTTTCGCACTCAAAATCATGGAAGCTGATAGTAATAAAAGACGATGAATTGATGATGAGGCTGTTGCTTGGACGAGAGATGATATCGTCTGCTGCAACTGTTCAGAGCTAAAATCCAGACATGTACATTGTCCTTGTTCCAAATGAAAATTTTGGATAGGGGTGTACATGTGCTGCGAAAGTTCTTGAACCCGGCCTAACCCTATACCCTTTTACCACCGGCCAATACTTATAAAGAGTTGTTCCTATCAATTTCTGTCACATCTACAATTTATAAAACTTCTTGGTAAATGTGGCTACATCTTTGGGATACAAAATTAATTGATCCATTCATTTATACCTTTTAGTTAGAGCCCGCTTGATTGATTCTAAAATATCACTTTAACAGACATGAGTATTGAATGTTTCAATATGGTATTTGCAGGTGCAATAGAAGTGACCATTGCAAACATAGCTAAAGCTGAGCGATGCAGTACTGATCAGATATATGTAGTAGGTTTTGTACCTTCTTACCAGCTACCCAAAAGTCGGCCTTGCTCACTGGATCCCTTCTTGCATCCTCTCATCAGTGACATCAAAGACATCTTTATCGATGGTATGAATCCAAGTTGCAATATACCGTCTTATAAGCCATTGATGGCACACCCAGTTTCTATCATAACATTTATCTACCAGTATTCAGTACAGGTAGTCATTTATCATAATTATACATTTATTTAATATACATGCACATGTACTGGAAACCATGCAGACCACTTCTATTCTAAACTTAATAATTTGTTTTAGTTTCAAAAAAACTAGAAAAAAATAGTCAAGACCAAATTTCATTTGAATAATTTAATTAATTAACCAAAACTTGCATGCGTGTGCAATAGCAACTTCTTTAAACATGCATTTTTTTTTTCAGGTCTTGAAGTTGACTATGTTGAGTCATTTCCTGGTCTTCCGGCAGGAAGGATCATCTTGCGCATCTTGATTCTGCTATGGACAGGTGACTATCCTGCACAACACGAAGTAGGGAAGTTCATCAAACATGGTATATTACCATGCCGTAGAGACAAACTAAAAGGTAAATTAGACACAATTTATTCATGTATGATTTACAGTGTAGCACTCTACTGAAATTATAGTCTTTTCAGTAGTAATAATTAATGTAAAAGTAATGATATTGTTTAATTTTTGGCAAAAATTCTGATAGGTTAATAAAATATCGTGTTTTTTTTTATGTACACTTGTGTTTATTGCATTTTTGTAAAATAATGTTTCTAGAAAATGCTGTGCATATAATTGCATATTGCAAAATAATTAAATACCAGCTGGTGAGTAAGAATGAATTCAAAGCAAAATGGTTTATCATATTTCTGAAGAAAAGATTGGTAATATGCTGTCATTTCTTTATTCACATTGGTTTTTGGTCAGTTTCTTGTCTGAAATAAAAGTCCATTTTATTCAATAGGTACTATCAATCCAGAGGGTGGAAGCACATACTATTATGTTAATAATCGGTACCACGCCAGATTTGCATGGGAGGAGCGAAAGCTGGAAGAAGACTTGAAAACGATGAAAGATATAAATGAGGAAGACCGCAAAACTGTTCGGGCAGAAAAAAGCAGGAACAGTGGTTATACTGGATTAAGCGTCCTTTATCGACTGCACAAACTTTATGGATTTGACATTTTCAAGGATCTTGTGTATGACACTATGCATAACCTCCCTTCAAATGTCATAGCAGCACAACTCAAAAGCTTCATCACTCTTGAGAAGATTGACAGTAAATTAGTTGACCAACGTCTACGCTTCTTTCCTTGGACTGCAGGTCTGTAATAAACAAGAATTTATTCTTTTGTCATTAACATCTTAAGTTATTAATTTAACAGTAATTGCATTAATACATATGCAAACTAATAAAACGCCTCCGGTTTTTAAGTGTCAGAAGTCCCAGTTTACTTCTCATCTTCTGGGTGCATGCGGTTCTGTTTGTTTTGAGTATGGAGCGCATTTCTTGATTTTGAAGTCTTTCCAGACTGTCTGTCATACCCTTAGGGCATTCCATCCACACTGTGCATCCATAGTCAAGGATTGGTAGCACTGTTTGCTTATAAATCTTTAGCAGCACATCTCTGGTTAAGTAACCAGAGAGTCTGTTGATGAGTCTGTTTATGAAAAAATACCAAATGAAGTTACAAATTATATTACGTCTAGTAACTTAAAACACGGTGTGTCTAGCAACTCAGTAAATTTTTACTCAGCGTACACTACATATATTAATTTATACAACAGAACTGTACAATTGATTTTCTGATTATTATAACTGTAGAATTGAAAGATGGAAGAATTCCTAATGGTTATGGTTCTCGCCTGGCCTTTTGGAAGGCAGAAGAACTCCACAAATTTGCCTTTCCAGCCTCTGAAGTAATATTTGCTGACCTCTTAGAAGATATGGATTATCACATTTGGCAACTTACTGTCAGGATGACAGAACTTGTCTTCTGTAAACGGGATGGATGGGTGCTCGATGATGTTCATCTTTTCTCCAAGTTAGCTCAACGCTACTTAGTGCTTACTGAAGAGCATAGGGGTCTGACTTCATGTACAGTCACTGAGCACAACCTTCTTCATATTCCTGACGATGCTATGCGGTTTTCACACCCTGACAACTACTGGTGTTTTCCATTTGAAAGGGCAGTGCGGAGGTATGTTACAACAAAGTCCAACTTTAAGAACATTGAATGCACCTATGCCAAAAAAGAAGCACGACGTGAATTGCTTCAACATCTCTCCTCTAGCATCAAGGACCAGCCCAAACAGTACAAGTTCTGCCTGGAAAAGGTATTTGAAAAGTTGTTAGTAGCCATAAAATGCCATCACTGCATTGTACATGTAAATTTTACACTGAAAGTTGCCATAATGTAATTACATTTCAGAATGTAATTGTGAACAAAAAGGAATTCCTGGGCTGCCTTAACTTTACATACAGTAATTACAGACTCAGTCATGAAGCCATTAGTTTGTTGTAGACATTACATTAAATGATATAATTGTAACTCCATTGTTATGCAGTCCACTAATACTTAAGGCATGTAATTGAATCCTAAAGAAAGGTTAGGACTACAAATAATATTTTTAAGCTAAGCCAAAAAAAAAAAAGATGATTTCCACGGTGATTTAAAATTTGAAAAAAGTTAAAGTTAGCTTTTGTATGGAAGAAAAACTACACAAAACTTTAAACCCTCCGTTCTATTTCTTGTTCTCATGTCAGTGATAATTCATACAGTGATCTTTAGCCAAATTAACTTTAGTTCTTATAATTATGTTAAGCTACAATCTGACTGAGAAAAATATTAACTTTTTTTTTCTAGATGAGTGCCACCAGTTTGGAAGGAGCAAGACACTTAAGTGACATTGCCAAAACCTCACCTCGTCATGAGAACTACAGCAAAAGGGAATTCTTGTTGGTGGGTCTGAGAGAAATGAAGTCCAGCTGTCAAAACAGGATGTGGATCTCATCAAATCAAAGTTTACTGGGTCAAGTACATCAAGTGGTGAAGTTCTTGTTCCGGAAATAGCTTTGGCTTACAGAAGTCTTCTTTTACCACAACAAGGTATTCAAGGTCAGGGCCTATTGTACAGGACAGGAGAACATGTTTTTCTTAACATGAACAATGTCCAATCAGTTGTTTTGGTAGAAAAATTTCTAGGTCTTGAGATTGAAGGAGAATACCACAAGTTTATTCAAGGCCAGTTACTTCCAACTAAACAAGATGATGATGGTAAACTTGTAACATTTGCAAGTACTGGCTTTCCCATTTTATGCCATGGGAGTCTTTCTCAGAAGATTATTGTACCGGCGCCAAGTATTTTGAGAAAGGCTATAGTTTTTCCTAATCCTTCTCAGCCTTTAGAATCAATTGTTGTCGATTTTATGAGGAAGAGCATGCCACTGTCTCCAAACGATGTGGTAGTACCATTGTACCCAAAGGAAGGAGAGATGGTTTTCATCAACGGAACTGATCCCCAGCCATGGTTTGGAAGGGTGTTAAGTGTTGATGCAAATCACCAAATTGCCAAAGTTCTGTACTACAACAAGGTTGGAGAGAGGGAAGATGTATATGGGTCTGTTATTGCTATGTATTCCCCAGAAAGAAATCCTCGTTTAGCCAGTGATAAAGTTTCCTGGAACACTTTACTTCATAATGCTGTTGGAGACTGGAATGAGGACATATGGGAAATGGTGCCAGTTGATTATTAATGGACAAACACTTTAGAACACCCTGAGATGCTAAGCTGTTTTTATCATTGGTGATTCATTATTTTGATTACTGGTATGAAACATTATGATGATGTTTTATAAAGATAAAACAATAAATCAGCCAACATCAAAACGCAAATGCAAGTCTCAATTATTTATGGTTTACTAAGACACAAGTCGTTGATATTGCATTTTATTTTATTTTATTAGCTGATCTGGTATCCCATTTATGGCTAAAAGTAAAAAACACATAATTTGGAGTTTTTAACTTACATTATTGCTGTTAACAACTGATGCTGTAGATTGTATTCCGTTTATGAGAAATTAATTAAACACAAGTGTCTAATTAGATTCATAATTTGATGGGAAATGATTAAAATACACAGACCGTTTTGTTAATGACATTAAAAAAAAATTGACGTTTAATTTTCAATCTTACATTAATGGTCTATAACTGAAACTCCTCTAAAATTATAAAAAAAACAGTGATGGTTTTAGCCTTACACATTTATTTAATATAATTTATGCATGCAGCTTGGCTTACGTCATATATTCCATTTATGTAAAATAAATGGTTATTAGAGAACACAATTGATGGGAAATAGATAAACCAATAATGGTCCAGTGTCATATACATTCATGGTTTTATAAATTACATCAATGTTTTAAGTTCCTTGAAAGAAAACATTGATGTTTCCAATCTTACATTAATGGTTTTTAACTGAAGCTCTATCCCATTAATGGTTTAAATAATAAACCACTGATGGTTTTAGCCTTACACATTAATGGTTTAGGCTTATGTTATATTCCATTAATGTCAAATAGCATAACATGAATGGTTATTGGCGTACGCATTGATGGGAAATAAATATACCAATAATGGTCCTATGTTATACACATTCATGGTTTTTATAAATCACAATAATGTTTTAAGTTCCCTAAAATCCCATAAATGGATTTCAATGTAAAACCATCCATGATTTTTCCCAGTCTTAATGTTAATTGCTAAAAAAACACTTAAATTCAAAAAACACATTAATGTTATTTCAGTAGAAAAATTGGAAATCGCTCTTTTTCCCATTAATGTGTTTTTTCTAAAAATGGGAATTAGCAAAAAAACCTGGATGTTTTTTTGAAATTTTTTCCTGTGTATAACAGAAACAATTAGATAATTCAGATCACCGCCTGCAAAGCAGCTCAGTAAATTTGAGCAGTGCTGCCATGTACTCGAGAAAAACAACACAGAAAGTGGCCATGCATGTGAATGGTAAAAAATACTTCATTCTGGTATATTCTCAAAGAGCTTGTTGTGCCCTTGTGAAGGTATCGTGGAAAACACTAACATGCGATCAGGCGGCCATTTTTCTTGGAGAGAGGGTATGATCACAGGTTAGGAACTAGCCTATATTCTCACTTGTTGGGTAACATCACAAGCATAATTATATGCCTCTGGTCACATACTTAGCTTCATTTAAGTTATCTGAACTGGTAAAACAAATTTGTTAAGTCATAAGGAAGCACTTGTGCATCAAACGTGACGGTCGTAGCTGCACTTAAATAATTCAAGCTGTTCAAAGTAATCAACCACAATCTAAAGCTCTCAGCACAGTTGTTATAACTTGCAAAAATCAGATATGAGAAACAAGGATGGCGCCATAAGATTTAACACCATGTACAACAAATCTGAACAAACTGAGCGATTTCCGAGTACAAAATAAAGCCAACTACAGAATACGAGGTCATTTCTGTAGAAACAGATATCAGTGAATCCTTTAGCTCGTTGTATTAGGGAGTGAAGTGGCTCGGCGGCCAGGCGGAGTTAGTGTTTGTGATATAATGTGTATAAAAGTGTTAGTGCCTAGGTGGCTGGTTTGGCTTGGTAGTGACCTTGACATCCGAGCAGCAGAGTCAGTCGACCGTTACATCAGTAAAGGTACCCCTTGCTATAGGCCTGCATTCTGTAGTTGCCTCAGGAGTTCTGACAAGCATGCATATTTATCAAGTTCTTTTTTACCGAATTTGTTCCACATCACGTACTCATGTCTCATGAATATTCACAAGGACCACAAGTCTGAATTATTCATAACTTAGACTAAAATGAAAAAAAAAGAAATATTCTTACCTTCCGAATCAGCAGACGCCATGAATAAAATATGTTAAGCTAATTATCCCTGTAAGGAAGGCAACAGAGCGAACAAGTACAGAACCCAGGAAATCTGAAATGGCCCGCGAAAATTAGTTTGATCCATCTCTCATATCCAGTCTACCACTAGCTTCACGGCCATCACAATGTTGAATGATTGTACTTCATTTTGTGTCATTTGAGAAGTTATGATAATTCTTCATTTGCAGTGGAGATCGTGTTGTTGACTTTGTGGCTCCTCAAAATGGACTAGATCCCTTGGGATTATTGGAAGTCAAAGTTGTAAAAGAGGGGGCAGACAAATTTTGATAATGTGAGGTATTTGTCGAAGAATGCCTAAAATGAGTACTCTCTCAAGACAACACATGAGTACTGTTATCAAGTGCAATGCCAATTGGGGCTCACTGGCTTACAGTGGTGTGACTTTTTTTAGTTATATTGATGACAGTACATTTGTGTGTTCAAGAATTTATTATGACAAAGAGTTTTTTCAAAATGCAAAGGATAAGGTTGATGCCTTTTTCTCTAATTTCTATTTGCAACCTTAATAATAATATTATCGTACAAATAAACTGAATTTTGAATTAAGTAATGAATGTCATAACCCATGTTCAAGGTAAACCATAACAATTCTACAAATAATACTATGAACATCAGAGAGATTTCTCATTATCTGGTAAAAAAAATTCACTGTTATTTGGTTCACAATAAAGAGGTTCAAGTCAGCTACTATAATATAAAATATACAAACTTCTGGTCTCTTGTATATATTCAATAGTAATTCTACTAATCTTCTTTGATAAGTGGACCTTGAAAATTTGTTAGTAAACGTGCTATAGCATATATTTGATTGACAGACCCAAGTGTATTTAAAGGAATATCTGAATCAAAAATATGAAATTCCTTCGGTCTTCGTATTGCTCCCTCTACATATGTTTGCAACTTAGCGATAGTTTTTGTTTCTTTAACTCTAATGGGACCCAGAAAATACATGTTCCCAAGCATAGCTATTAGTATGCATAACTATATTAGTTATCATTTCAATAATAAAAAAGAGGTTAAAAAACTCTACCGCCTTTGTCATGGTGCCCCTGAGTGGAGGCCACTCAAAATGGATTCCAGCTGGCCTTAAAGGGGTAAAAGAAGGAATGGGATTCCCAACATCGGATCATCATAGGATTTGCAGAGGGTAGGAGCAGGAGGGTTAGGGGTAGGGGAACAAGCATGACCGTGACTGTGAACATGACCCTGACCCCGACCATGACCATGACCACGACCACAACCACAACCAGGACCACCCCTGCGGCCAGCTAGACCACTTGAAAGACCTTTAGTAGCAGGAACACCATGAACTCGAGGAGCAGGAACACCAACAGCAGCACCAGCACCATAGAATCTTCCAGGACCTAAGCAAACATGGCAAATATTACAGTTTTTCTGATAAAGTCCTTAGATCAGGAAGATAAGTTATGATAAACCAAGTAAAAAAAAAGATAGTTGATTCAAGTGATGAGCTTTTGATTTACTGAGGATGGGTGTAAATTAAAGTGGAAAGGGAGATCCTGCTGAAATAATCCTAGTCTGATGCAAATAAAATACAAGGCAGTCACCAATTAAAAGCATTGAGGATGTCCTGCTATCTAGTACACCTGATGCTTAACAATATGTGATGGTTTCAGCAGTTGGCTTGGCAAATTCATAAAAAGCAATGAGGTGCTCATAAGTAGGAATTCGGTATAAAACTTAATGTTACTATCATCCCTGGTAAACCTTTCTACCCCAAATTTATATGTAGCTCTTTGTCTTGCTAGTTCATCTTTTGCCTGTGTTGTAGCCATGTTTGCTTTCTGAATTTCTAATTGTGCGGCGGTTTTGAATTGAGAATATTCATCTTTAGTGGATTTCAACTCTAGCTCTAAGTCTTTCAACTTTTCTTCAAGGACATCTATCTCACTACTTTCACTGCTGATCTCAGGTTGGTTGTTTTCTTCGTCAACATGAACATTGCCACAAGTTAAAGGAGTAAAGGACCTAGAAATAGCAACATAGTGACCTTTAAGCATGGAATTCTAGAAGTCTAACATAATAAAGAAAAAGTAAGTTACCTTTCAACTTTTCTCCTCACTTTGGCATTTGGTTTCCATGAAAATGTGTGGGGAAATGCACCTTGCTGTAATAGTTGACATGCTGCATTGTCAGTTGGCAAGAAGTCTTCCTCCAAAAAAATGTTTAGAGCACACTCTGGCATTGTTCATAGTCTATGAAAAAAAAATGAGCTATAAATTGCATTGATTGTTAAAAAATGTCACAAACTGCACATTATTGTATGTTGAGCATACGAGAGTGTACTGTAATGTCATGTCCAATTTTAGATCACTTGGTGTTCAATAAATCGAGCAAACAGTTCTAACCTTGAAAAAATACATCCTCATCTCTTCTTATTATCGAAGTCTAGATCTTTATACGGTCTTTTTTCTTTGGGATTTGATGAAAAGACAACGAGGCATTGTATTGAGCATCATCCTCACATTTTGGAACACAACAGTGATCTCTGGACTTCTTTATCCTCTTGGAAGGATGTTCAGTGAAAATATGTAAAGAAATACATGATAAGTCAAGAGAATAATTGATAGCAATCTTAAAAGATTAAGTTCTGTCATCTTTTACCGAAAGATCTTTCTTCAAAATAAAACAAACTTATGATTTCTTGTGATTCCAATGGTCCAGACTGCTGTTGTTGTACTGTTGTCTTGAGGACATCCTCGAAAGTTGAATCGGGATCCAGAGACAAATCTTGAGTCCAATTTGCTGTTAAAAATTTTGTTTAATAAGTTTTAACCATTCTTTATAAAACATTAAAAAAAAAGTTGAGAGATTACAACAAAAGTTGCGATATTTACTCGTTGTTGAGTCCACCAGTCAGCATGGTGTTGCTATGGGGAGACCAGTCATGTGATCAATTCCTGTGAAAGGCCTATGCTAGTAAACAGATTTAGTTTTCTATCTAGTTTGTAAAATAGATCATTTCAAATTTCATAACTTCCATAATAAAAAATATTAAATGACAATGCAGTTAAACTTTCCCTGGTTAACAAATAAACCTATTTAAATTTCATACACAGTAATTAAATATGATTTTGGAGGTTTCTGGTAATACAGTGACAATAAACAAACTTATTACACAGTCTCACTAGCTAATGCACCCTCAAGGCATCTGATAAGAATGTCTTTGTTTCAACTTGTGCTTAATTGCCTACTCTGCAGCTCCATTTTTAGGTCACTGACTTTCATATTTCTAGGGTTTAGGTTATAGCTATTTTTGACAGGACTACCAGGCTGCTTGCTGAGTTAGTGGACATTTTTATGAGCCTTATATGTTACATTATTAGGAAATCTCTCATTACATACAGAGCATAACAATGGTTTTAATGATGAAAGGACTTCAGGTATTAGTTTCTGCCCCTCTGCACACCAGGCAGTTATCCCAGCATCTACGCACACTTCACATATGCAATCATTAATATCCTTTTCTCTTTTACAATTGCAAAAGTTGTCAAAATTTAAGTGAGAAGGAAGCAAAGACTTCAAATGAGAAGTACAAGAACTTGACATTGGTTAATGTTCTATCAACACAGTTAGCTCTTATGACTTGCCACCATTTCCCCTTTTCAATTGTTGTATTGGATCTGTTTGTCAAATCCAAGTCATCTTTAACCCCCAAGTGTTGAAGCCTCTTTTGCCTGTAAGGATGTAATGCTGTAACCCACTTTATGGATTTCATACAATTTAGTTGTATAATGTGGTATGGCATACCCCTTTGTCCACATGATTAAAAAATAAATGCATATAAATTAAAAATAAAGTGTACAAAATTCTGTATGCTCACCAAGTTGGAAGGGCTAACTTCAATTTTGTTTAAAAAAAGCCCAGCATTCCTAAGGAACTGTGTTATTTTTCCTAAGGTTTACCTTTCTACTTTCTGAGCTGGGGACTCATCAGAAACTTTAAGGGCATCAATGAGCGAAATAGAAAAGTTATCAAAGCAATCGGCTGGCCTCCTATCAACCATACTGGAAGCTTCTTGTGCCTCTGAGCCTTATCATTGTAGTGATCCCTATTCACAGAAGCTAAACCCACAACCAAGTTCACCAAAATCCTCTTCATGGTAACTTGACAGTGCACTGCCTAGGTCACTTACAAACTTTTGGTTAGAGGCATTCACAAAATCAACTCTAGTTGATCCTTCTTTAGGACCATCATTATGTGGAACATAAATCTGTGAATTTCTATTCCCATTTCCTTGATCAGCTGGCAAAGCCTATTCTCTCCCTTGAACTGTGGTTTCCTGGAGTGGCAAATTTTTTCACTCAGAGAAAATGGCAGGGAAATCATAAACTCATTGATCCTCTTAACATGGGAATTTCTGACTTCTAGAGTACGGTGCTTGAAGAAATCTTCGTCCCCTGTCCCAATAGTGGCACCCATAGTACACATATTTCCTTTACTTTCATTAGGATAAGAAGATGGGTAAGTGGCAACTTAATTCAACTCATTGATAACCCAGCTTTATCAGGGCTGCAACTCTACAGTACACTACTTATTAGAAACAATAAATACATTACCCTCAAACATTTCCATTTCATCAGTGTGTTGTTTCCAGATACTTTGCAGTATTTCATCTCCTCTGAACTGACTCAAAGTAAAATGTACTGAAAATCCTTGCTGCTCACCCTGTCCACAAAATTCCATGACATTAGACTGCCAATTGACATGGTTAGGTGACTTGACGTAAAGCCCCTTCATCAGAAAATTGCATCATGAAATGATTCATGTTGTCATTAAACCAAATAAGCTTATGGGACAAATAGGGAAGTCTTAGATGCAGATCAATTATCATGAAAACCAACCAAGTTATTGTTCTGGAGACACCTGGTGCATTGTAGATTTGATCGACTTGACCAATTTAAAGACTTCTTACAAAATCCTTTACCAGTTTGTCAGAAATAGCTATATTTGGTACTGTTAAGTCCAAACCTATGCATTTTATGTTACAGGGTACCCGTAGATGAGAGTTGAGATCAGAAACTGAGGATTGAGTTCTGCAAACAAGGGCATACTTTCTGTGAGACAGGAAGTTGTGGTACTTCATAAAGACAGCTTGTTTAAAAGCCTCATCTAAATTTGATTCCCTTTCATCGTCTTGTCAAACAGACCCTGGAGATATTTCCCTCATTTAAGTCCAGACATCAGTTTGTCCATGGTTTGATTGTCAGCAGTAGATGAAATGTAATCCCAAACCCCATGTATTGACCCTTCTTTTCCCTCATGAATGAACTCTAATACATTTTTCGTCTCCTGTCTTTGTCTGTGCTTGTGGATATTTGGATATGTTTATTAATTCCTCTTGCGCAGTATAAATAACTGATTTATAGGTCTGGCTAGAAAAGAATAATAATAGCTAAGGAAAAATTGATTGTATTAGCAACCAAGAAGCATTTATAAGGCGTATTTGTTTGAGATAAATTTCTTTCTCTTTATATTGAGTATCTATTATGCAACTTCTAATGAGCTTGTACACAGGGTTATCTGGTATAAGACTGGTAATTAACCTTTCGCACACCATAATCCTTCTGTCTTAAAGTGATTGTCAATTACTCACTGTCAGAGCTTCAGTATATGATAAGGTAGGGAAAATAATTTGAGGGGGGCAGTGCTTTTGCACATTTTTGGTGGCATCTGACAAATAAAGCAGCAAGTTTGAAAACATGACACATGAATATTCTAATATTGATTTTACAAGGGATGTGTAAATCAGAATCATATCTGAAACTGGAACACTGCAGTGCCTGAGTGACCTGAGTGCGTACAGTCTCTGGTTGGTTCTCTTCACCAGAAAGTCACAGTGCAATCCAGTGCTGATAGCAAGGGTGTATATTGAGAACAGATATCTTTTAATCATCACCTGGTGGTCTATGAGATTAAATCCCTTTCTGAAATTAGCAAAGAATCAGCAATTACATTTCAAGAGAAGATATCCCAACAGATTCTTTCCTTAATTTACAACCATCAATGTTAAGGAATTGTTCTAATGAAGCTGGAAATATGCATGAAGGGTTTACTCAGTAGTTTAATAATGAAGATGAAGTGTCGTGGCAGAGGCATATGTGTGGGCAATTCACCTTATTACACATTAGAAGGACATGTCAATCCCAGGGAGTCCCATATCAAGTACTTCTGTACACAGACATTCAGGTCACTTGTTTATGTTTGCCACCCCCTAGTTAAGAGGACTTGTTAATTGACTTGTGAGACAAAAGTTAGTAACAGTTTGGCTACTGGGCACTGCTGAGTATAGCCCTATCATATTTTGTTGACATTCAAAAAAATAACAGAAACAACATACTTAATTCTTCAAATGTGTAGCAATTGAAATCTCAGCATAAGATAGGTATTAGAACTCCAAAGCAAGCTTGTTTAGGCTGCATCAACTGCATTGGAGTTTGAGGGGACTAAAACCAGATGAAACAATTCAATAATATTAAGTTTAAATGTAACTTCATGGTAACCATAATTAAATAGCATTTGCAGAAACTAGTTGTTGGCATTTCTTCTTATGAGCAGGTTTCTATGATGTGAGCAGGGTAGAAGAAATCCTAGGAAAGGTCAAAACACCAACATTTAATATTCACAAGAATACAATTAATGGATTGACATTGAAATGGATGATGTGATGGCACTCGAATCTACCATTTTGTAGACAAATCCATATTTGCCATAAAATGCCACAAAATTCCACCCTCACCTCTAACATTTGGCAAACTTTGTTTTCTCAGCAGCCAATCTATGGAAGAATATTAATGACTGATTGACATAGTCATCTGAAACCTATTGTCTGGGAAGGCAGTCCATATGTTCAAACTTATCCAAATTACAAGAGGATTCCCAAAAATTCGTATGGCTTTGTAAAACCCTTATTTAGACACAACTACCTTTGTCTTTGAGCATGAACTACTGAAACAAGACCAAACCTTTGTTTCTGGGTATTAGTATACTCCATGGGTGTAAAGGGATGCATGTGCATGCTTTGATGAGGAGAAGGGATGTTCTCCCAAAAGGAATAATGGAAAGGACACATGTCCTGTTTTCAGCACAAAACAATGATGCTTTGAATAAAACTACCAGTTACCTCTAGTTCCTGCTAAATCCTGTAGAGGTAGCCCATTGGTGCTGACTAGTTTTATCTTGGCCATACCCAGCTCCTCCTGGGATGTGGGAACATTTGCAGTTTCTAGGATTATCAGGACATAAATCTGCCTTCTGGGTTTTTCACTTTGCTGTTTTCAAGGGATACTAAAGTAACCTTCAGTGGGTAGCTACTCATCTCAACTCTTTTCAATGAGTGGGAAAGGCTTGATAATACAGAACTAAAAAAAAAAATAATAATATTTAGAAAACAAATTTGCTTGTTCTGCTTAAAATGGATTTTTTTTTGTCTGATTAGTTACATTTTTTTGGTATTAACCTCAATCATCCCGTTTCCGGAGAATCATTCTTTTAAATTCTCAAATACTTGTATGGCTTGTTGGCCTTTCTGATGAGCACAAGCCTGAGAGGGGAAGCCTCTGGTAGGCTGATGCATGAATGTCAAGCAAATCAGGTTGTAAAGATTTTATAAGTAAAAATTTTGAAGAACTTTGCAAAAATCTCAGCACTTTGGGCAAACGAGGACTGAAATTGTGCCACAAAAGTCAGAGTTGTGGTCAGCGGCAAAGTGCAAAAAATTAGCAAGATTAAACAAAGATGGTGGCTAATTTTAGCGTGGAGAAGGTTATAGATATGGTGACTAGTAACAGTGATGTGGATGAAAACAAAGAATTCGAAGAATTGGATACTTTTGAGACAAAAATTAGATGAGTTGAGTGAATATGCTGTTGAAATACAAGCAGACATTGATAAAGACACTTTTAAAACATTTATGGCTTGGCTTGCTTTGACATATGTTCAACCACTTATTACAAATACAAGCAGGGCCATTTGTTCTGGATTTCCATTTTGGAGTGTGGAATGCCCATGGATGTCCATTATATACTTGAACAACCACAATGACTGACTGCTGTAATGCTGTAATGTAAATTAAATCATATAATCATTATTAACTGATTTGAAGACAAAGACAGTTCTACTGTTATAATATGCAATCTTTATTTTCGCCAAATTTACAAGTAGTAAGGAAACCATAAACACGTCAAGCTCTTAAACGTGTAAAGTTAACCTTAAAAGTGACCTTCTTTTTTCCTTGCCAGGAAACTATGAACAAGTAAAGTTAATTTTTAACAAAGTAAACATATTTTATTGACAATGTTTACAATTTTAATTTCAAAATTACAACCAAAATGGGATTCCATAACAAACTTCCCCTCTTTGTACTTTAGACTTAAAAAGTAAACTTCTGCTGTTCAACACTGCTCGCAATTTTAACTCTGTTTGGTGACTGCAGTATATGTAATCGTTTCCAGAAATATATTGCTAATAATTCAAGTTCATTAATGTGCTTTTGTTTTTCAAGTGGGGGCCACATGCCTTGGGCACTTTTTCCATTGCAGACTGCCCCCCAGCCTAAAGTTGATGCATCTGTTGCCATTTCTATAGTTGGGTTGCCCATGGTAATATTTTTCCATGCTATAGGTAGGCTAGTCACCCACCGGCCAAGGTCACTGACAGATTCTGAGGAGAGGGTCATAATAACTTTACAGTTGCCATTATTTTGTTGTAAAGCTATATTTTTATCAATTTCAAGACTCCTATAATGAAGAGGTCCATACTGGACAGCAGGCAAACTAGAGACGAGAAGTCCAATGACATGGGCAACTTTTCTTATGGAAATTACACTTCTCTTCAGAAGTTGTTGGCATGCCAAAATTATTCTCTCTCTTTTTTCTGCTGCAAGGAATACTTTCATGTTGACAGAATCTGAAAGAAAGCCAAAGAGTACCAATTTCTGACATGGTTGCAACACTGACTTTTCATGATTAATCAGGAATCCTAGAGACTCAATTACGTTTAGGGTAGTGAGAATATCACTTCTGCACTCTGTATTGGAGTCCCCCTGTAAATATGAGTCATTGATATAACCAACATTCAAGTAGCCCTGGCTACGCAATGTGCTATACACTGGTTTCAACAGTTTTGTAAAGTATCTTAGTGCCGACACAAGACCATTAGATAGGCATGTGTATTGAAACAACCTATTTCTCCAGAGAAACCTTAAATATCTCCTGTGCTCAACTGCCACAGGAACAGTGTAGTATGCATCTGTTAGATCTACAGAGGCCATATAACAGTTTTCTTCATTAACTGAATAGTACATGTCAAGTTTTCCATTTTAAAATGTTGATACTCTATGGATGCATTCAGTCCTTTTAAATTCAAGTTTAATCTGTAAGAATAATTTTTCTTCTTCCTGAGAAAAATGGTAGAGACATACTGACCATAAGTAGGGTCAGTCTCCTCAAGAACCCCTTTACCAAGCAATTGTTGTATTTCACCATCAATAATTGCAGCCTCCGAAAGACGTTGTTGTCAGGTGCCATGCAAAGGGCTGGATGGACGAACCGCTTGTGCAGGACTGGTTACAGACCATTTGGAGCAAAGTTGGTGGCCTCAGCTGGCGAAAGTCGATGCTTGTCTGGGATTCGTTCAGAGCCCACTTATCCAAACCAGTTCGCAGTACCTTGAGATCCATCAATACAGAGTGCGTTGTGATTCCAGGTGGCATGACCAGCATGCTTCAGCCTTTGGATGTGTCCATTAACAAGCCCTTCATGGATCGCATGCAGGCAAAGTGGCAAGACTGGATGTTGGCTGGACAGCACAGCTTTACTGCTGGGGGTTGCATTCGCAAGGTCGGGCTTGACGAGATCTGCAGATGGATCAGTGATGCCTGGGACAACATACCACCAGAGATGATCGCCAAGTCGTTTTGCAAATGTTGTATCACCAACGCATTGGATGGCACAGAAGACGAAGAAATCTGGGAAGAGGAGTTGGACTCAGATCCATTTGAAGATCTTGATGAAGTAGATGGTGACGACCAGCTGTATTATGCTGATCACTTTGAACGACAACTTGCAGAAATTGTCCCTGAATGCTTTGAGAACATTTTTGGTGAAAGCGATGGCGAGGACTTTTATGGTTTCTAAGCAACTACAACAGTTGTTGAACATTGAACACTGGTCGATAGAATGAACTTTAACTGTATATTAATGCTCCTGTAAATAGTTTTTGCTTGTCTCGTGAAAATGATACCGAACTGTGTTGTACAAGATTTCGCTTTGAACAAAGATTGATGAGCCATACTTTCAAACATTGTACAATGTAAATAGTTTTTTGCTTAAACAAGGAATTTCGTTTTCTAATATCAAGATATCTGTACCTGTTACTTGTAAATATATTATTCAGTTTTGTAAAATACAGTCTTCACAAGTCCAGCATTTGTTTACTTCTGTCCTTCTCTGGTGTCCAGACTTCCCCCGTCAAATAAACGCGTGGTTACTAAGCAAACGTTTTGTAGCATTCTCCAGCGCTTTATTTTCGTTCCATCGTTCCATTTTCATTTCAACTGTGGGCTTTAGCAATGAAGAGAACTGTTGTCTTTCGCAGGAAATGGGGAAATTGATTAAAGAGAACCTTTTAAAAGGTATTTTCAGAGTTGATTGACTTATTTAAAATGTCACTGCAAATACACAACATTAAATTTCCTCAAGTTTATTTGTGAACATTTTGATGCGCAAACAAACGATCACCTTTTTTACAAAAGCACATTTTTAGTTTTTTTTTCAAAATCATACTTGAAAGTTGGGGGTGCGGCTTATACATGAGTGCGGCTTATACACAAGTTTTTACGGTATTTGCAATTGAAAAAGCCTAATTTTCGGTCTCTTAAAATTGTCACGTGACATGGTTAATTATGAACTGCTCTCGATTGGTGAGAATAATTTCAAATCAATCCAACTTTGAACCTTCCATTGCCTAAGGTTCAAAGAATTGTCAGATAAAATGAGATTAAAATCCACCGCATTCTATCAGTGTGGGAGATCTTTTTTGAAAGTACAATTTTAGGGCTAATTTCGGGGTTTTATCCCTGGGATTTGGTGTGAAAGCCCTTGTACCCCAGGGATTAACCAAAGTACTTTGGCTTCTGGAATAAATTTATGACTTTAATTGTCTGTGAAAGTAACAAGTTCTTGTAACAAGGAATATAGCCTCAGAGTCAACACCTCCAAAGGCAGACATCATTGAAAAGCATCGCTCAAGATTTAATGGCTAAATTAAAAGCCACCGAGAATTTGTTTGTTTTCTGATTCAGTTCAAAGGGATTCTCATGCAATTCCCAAATTTTCTGTTTAAACACTATTTATTTATGAAATGCTAGTTTCAATTGTCAGCAGAAGCCTGAAGGTTGTTCATAGAAGTATGAGAAACCAGGCAGCTCTTCTGAAGTAATAAATTTACTGATTTAC